CGGTCATGTGCCTAAAAAAAAAAACATAGAAGCAAAGTATACTGTATATAACAGTAACACACATTTTGCTGGACAGCTTGGCCCGCTGGTAAAAAATAGATAAAACTATAAATAAAAAAATATATATATAGTTTTTTTTAAAAGGTATTCATATACTGAATATAATAATTATATGTATTAACTAGGGATGCACTGATACCGGTATTCTGGTATCGAGTACGAGCACCGATAATTGGCTTTCGGTTATCGTCGATACCGAGTACCGATACCGGTGCTTCCACTGCCATGGAGTCGGTTTCCCGGGCAATCTGATTGCCCGAGAAGCTGGCTCCATGTTGTCTAGCCGCCTTGTGTAGTGCTTGGCCGGGAAACCGGCTTCCCAGCCAATGAGGAAGCCAGGCGGCGAGTAATGACCTGCCTCCCTGCCTTCCTGATTGGCCGGGAAGCCGGCTCGATGCTGATTAGCTGGGAAGCCGGCTTCCCGGCGTGCACTTTGTAAGAAAGTATATTACTGACATGGAAGGATCACGCAGCAAAAATGTCAAAAATGTGTCAGTCATTTACGAACAGAAAGTAAAAAACAAGCTCAGTCATGAAGGGGTTAAGGGGATGGGATAGATCGCGTATTTAAGACAATGTTATCAAATTGTATTATATGTAGATCTTGTATATGTTTAAACACCCTTTTTGGCAATCCATCAATTGAGCTTCTAGTATGATAATAAGGGGATATTCAATTGTGGAATGTTTCTTGTTCTGTTTGTTATGTTTCAGCAAAAGATGAGGAAACGTCCGAGTATTGGAAAGATGTACTAAATATGACTTTGTTTTCCTACAGACATACTGTTGCACCATTTTAGCCCATATATCCCCCCCACTTCCAGGTGTCATTGTAATATATCCCTCCCATCATATAGGCATACCTGGCGGGTACTTCATGGCGGACACATCTTACAACTTGTGTCATATAGGCATAGCTGGCGGGTACTTCATGGCGGATACATCTCACAACTTGTGTCATATAGGCACAGCTGGCGGGTACTTCATGGCGGACACATCTCACAACTTGGGTCATATAGGCATAGCTGGCGGGTACTTCATGGCGGATACATCTTACAACTTGGGTCATATAGGCATACCTGGCGTGTACTTCATGGCGGATACATCTTACAACTTGTGTCATATAGGCATACCTGGCGGGTACTTCATGGCGGACACATCTCACAACTTGGGTCATATAGGCATACCTGGCGGGTACTTCATGGCGGATACATCTTACAACTTGG